GTTCTCCTCTCTCCTGGAGAAAGTGCTGGAATTAGAAAATCTTTCTGACCTCTACAGGTGATGGGTAGTGATGCTTGGGGCTTTGAACTCTATTCTTTCAGTTCTCAAAACCAAACAACACACTCTGGCACTGGGCGTCAAACTGTTTGGACCATGGAAGATGCAATGTAAGGCATTGGGAAGCTGTGAACAATACCTGTATGTACTTGGCATTGCACTGGATAGGACAGGGAAATAGAGTGGTTCTTTGACTGCTCTATGTCTCTTAGAGTCTTGTCATTTCTATTTGATTTCAGTGTGAACCAGGGCTGGGAGGCAGCTCTATTCGGATAGGTCATGATACACTTCTCTCTTTCCCTAGCCAACCAACCCATCACTAAGTTCTGGCAAAACCATGACCTTAGCATCTTCCACCATTTGTATTTGTTACCACCACTCTTGCTTGTGGACAACTTTAGTGCCATGGAGTAAACGGTTTTTTAAGATTTATATATTTTATGTATACTAATGTTCTATTTGCATGTATGCCTGCATGACAGAAGAGGGCATCAGATCCCATTATAAATGGTTATGAGCCACCATGTGGTTGCTGGGAATTGAACTCTTAAACACTGAGCCATCTCTCCAGCCCCAAAATGAAAGCTTTTAAAGTGTTGACTAGTTGAGAACCCCCGAGGTAAGAATACAAGAATTAAGAAAGTGATTGATGGGAGATGGGAAAGTTGTTGACTGGTTACAGGGTAGGGAGTAAAGAGAACCCTGGTGCTGAGGAAGATGTAAGCAGGGATGTGACTGTTACAGTGGGGAGACTGGTTAAGGAGAACAAAGGCTGGGAAGGCAGAAGGATAAGTAATCCCTTCATCCTCATGGTGAGAGGCAGAAGGTGGTTATGGGCAACAGCACTGTGGATAAGTGGTCATCTCAGTCATGATGAGCAGACAGCATGGACACTCAGGAGTGCAGGAGCAAGGCTAGGCATCATGGGGCATTGGTCACTAGGCAGCAGAAAGTGCACCCTACATGGAGAAGGGCTTGAGTTGCAAGGCCTATCTCAGCTCTTGTGGCTCTAAACAGTAGCTCTTCTGCATGCAGCAGCTTTGTGAAAAGCCAGAGTTTGATGTGATCCTCTACATAGATTCCCACATCCGCATCTAGATGTAGCTATAGACGCAATCTATATAGTCCTATAGAGATGCCTATGCAGGAGCAGTATTACATTGTTGAGATTGGCCAATGTGTGTCTCCATTCTGTTCTCTACTATCGGAACAATCTAGAACACATACCTGCCTGGAACTCTTCAATGGGTTGCTCTATCTAAGGCACAAGTCTGAGGTCCTTGGGTCTATGGGCCTGATCCTCCCTAACTTTCTCCTTCCCTCCAAGCCCACATGAAACTCCAAGGCTGCTAGAGAATTCACAGGGTTCGACATTCTCCAGCCCAGCTGCCCTTATCAGTGTTACCTCTTTGCCCCCTCTCTCGGTAACTTCCTTCCTATCTATGTTCTGTTTGATCTTCAGGATCATGTTCAAGGTCCATCATCTTACCAGTTATGATTTCCAAACAAGAATAAAGGAACTGAGATGATAAACAAACACTCGTTTTTCTGCAATGACGGTCAAGCAGCAGGCAGGGAGCCGTGAAACCATTGGCCCTGCCAAATTTACATCCCAGCTCAGGCACTTTCTGGAGAAGCTCCTTGATTTTTCACTTCAGTGTCTTCTCCAGGCATCCCAAGCCCAGGTTGGCCTAGTTGCCCTTTGCCAGGGACAGGTAGTGGACCACAGGCTTTCCTTGCCCTGACCTTCTGCTCTTATCTCAGTGGTTTACAACCTCTTAATACTGTGATCCTTTAGTGCAGTCCTTCATGCTGTGGTGACCCCCAACCATAATATTATTTTCATTGCTACTTTGTAACTGTAATTTTGCTACTGTTATGAACCGCAATGCAAATATCTTTTGGAGACACAGGTTTGCCAAAGGGGTCACAACCTATAGACTGAGAACCACTGTTTTTTTATCTGTTTCTTGTTTATGTGGCACTTTATCAGGAACCTGATCTGGTTTGTCTCTGTAGTTCCTCTGCTCAGCTTAGGGCCTGACACCTACATACGTAAATGTCTCTACAAAGAATAAATGAATAAATTTGATTTTGAGTAAGAGAAATCAATATTTTTAAACTTCAGTGCTCCCTTACTATTTATTTTCATGACCTTCTCTGATAAAGAGATGGATTTTCATAGATGAAAAGCAAGAGAAAGGTAATTGTACAGGCTAGTTTTATGTCAAATAGACACAAGCTAGAATCATCTAAGAGGAGGGAAACTCAACTGAGAAAGTGCCTCTAAAGAATTGGACTGTAGGCAAATATGGAGGGCATTTTCTTAATTAGTGGCTGATGTGGGAGGGCCCAGCCCATTGTGAGTGATGCCACCACTGAGCTGGTGGTTTGGGATGCTGTGAGGAAGCAGGCTGAGCAAGCCACGAGGAGCAAGCCAGTAAACAGCATCCTCCATCGCCTCTGCATCAGCTCCAGCCTCCAGGTTCCTGCCCTGCTTGAGCTGCTGACCTTAGAGGCCCTGATGATGAGCAGTGATAATGAGGAGGAAGCAAAATAAACCCTTTGCTCCCCAAGTTGGCTTGGGTAGTAGTGTTTCATCAGAGCGATAAGACTGTAGTGCTATAAAGACACATAGGACTCCAAACAGACTATGTACAGCTATTTTTTTCCTGCTACCAACATTTATTGATGATTAACACTGTAGCTAGAGCCATCCCTAACCTTTTATGTGTAGATTCAATCTACCATCAAAATAATCCCCATTCTATAGAAAAAAAACTCCAGAAGAAGAAAAAGTTAAAGGCCCTTTCCAGCAAGGGGCTGAGCTACTGCCCATAGCTGGCAGAGATGGTGATGTTCATCATCAGATTGCCCTGCCTGCAGAGAAATGGGGGAGGGATTGTTTTCTCATTCATCCATGTTCTCCCCTCTGTTAGTGTTTGTTTTCTCCACCTTTGCTGAAAACTCACAGCTTTTGATAGAATACTTCACAAATGACAGCTGAGAGCTTTCCATGTAGGTTCAGAAAACATCTATATAGCCAACACCTTGCCAGTTGCTAAGAAGGAGTCATGGCTGGGTTAAGTGTCATTACAGTGTGGTCTCTTCGGAATTTATTTCCCTGAGTCCTAAGGAAGGGGCTATTCAATGTTTTGATACCGATTTGTGAGGTCGTATCTTTTTAAATGACTGTTCAAAGGAACACAAACTATGGCAGAATGAAATTACAGAGATTACAAAGACTGTGAGAAGCTTTGCCACCTACCAGGCTTTTGACATCAAAAGAATTAGCAAAGAGAAAGAGAAATTAGAGCAAGGGCCTGAGCATGCGTAGAAATCGCTACTTTCTAAGGGCGCGCGTGAGGGGGGCGGTGTATTTAAAATGAGAATGTATAACCGGACAGGCAAACTCAGGCAGCAGTGCCTTGTTTGGTGAGTCTGGGAGCCGTCTTAGAAGCTACTGGATAAGGGACCTCTGATCAAAACGGACAGGAGAAGCTGGGTCCCACCTCAACACTTAAGGGCTGGGTTTCCTTAGGCTTGGTTCTCAGGTGTTTGTATTTTGTCTTCATTTTGGTGGGGTTTGTGACTGTGGGGGAGGTTCATGTACAGAAGCTAAAGGAAAGGGGCTTTTGGTTTCCCCAGCTTTAAGCGCGAGTTTCTACTGCCTCAAAAGGAACCGAGCCACAAGAATGTTTGTCTCTCTGCCCTGTCCCCAGCCACGCCACAGCAATGGCCCTGGGAGGTGGGACCAATAGGAAAACGTTTGCTTTGCAATATCCTAAGCAGAAACCTGTAACAACAGAGAAAATCAGCACAACACGGTCACCTTGAAATTCCATCTCTGGCAAGCCTGGCTTGTGCTTTTGGTTTGTAAACGGTTTTCTGCAGAATATAGGGATATGTTCAGCACTGGCTTGAGCTGTTTTATTGTCTTCACCTCTCATATTTGAGTGTTCTTTAAAATAATACTGGTCTGGTGCTTATCTGCATTCTGGCCAGATATAAAAACCAAGTAATTGCTGGGCAGAGGAGGTTTGTTTGCAATTAATTTTTTTTTTTTTTTCCTTAAAGAGAAATTCTGCCACCCTCTGGACAGAAATCAAAGATCTGTTTCTTAGAGATACGCACAGAAAAGAATTTTGACTTCCTCCCATTCCCTAAAAATAAACATTTAAAAAAAAATCTGTCTTTTAAGAGTCAGGAGTGGGAGGTGGGCTAGAGCCATGTAGAAGGGATCCTGGTTGCTTTAGGTAGCATAGGCAAAATATATGAACAAGGAAACTAGAATAACTCTACAGACTTTTTAAAACTAAAGACAGAATGGGCTCAGAGTCCATTCAGGAACACACACTCTTTCCTGGGCCTGTTCTTAGCATCCATGTCTGCTCTTTGCTCTCTACTAGCCAGGTTAGGACTTTTCACATGTTTCAGCCATGGCTGTTTTGCAGTTACATTTGTACTAAAAGTAACTATGTTTTTAATGAACGCTAACTGAACATGAGGACAATGAGATTTCAGCCATTTGAGAAATTAGTCACAGGAATCTGGATAAGCAGTTTTTGAATTGTGCTTAATCACCCATGGGACATGCTTAAAGATACACAAATGAAACTCTGGAGTTGTGGGCGGTGGTGCACACCTTTAATCCCAACAGTAGGGAGACAGAGGCAAGTGTGGGTCTCTATGAGTTCAAGGCCAGCCTGGTCTACAGAGTCAGTTCCAGGATAGCCAGGGCTGTTGCGCAGAGAAACTCTGTCTGGAAAACAACAACAAAAACCTCTGGAAAACACACACACACACACACACACACACACACACACACACACACACACACACGGGTGTGGCTGCTACCAATTAAAATGTGAAACAAATAAAAGCACAGCCACACCCTCTTTCTAAATACCCAGAAGATGCCAGAGCAATGCCCAAAACCATACCTGGTTTTAGCAACAGGGTTCAGGCGCTTCTGGTCATGGAGCACCTTGGCCAGCTGTTTTTGCAGGAACAAAACCTTGCCTTGAGTTCCTTTAATGAATGGGTGGTCCAGGAGATGGGTGACTGAAGGCCGCTTTTCAAAATCTTTAATAAGACACCTGTTTGCAAAAATCAACAAATAATTCAAGATGATAGCATTTGATATTCTCTTTCCCTGAGAATATAGGAGAGAGAAGCCTCATGATACGCTTGATCATTAACCCCACACAGTTCTTTCCTTTCAAATATGTACCAGAGAGTGGAAAAATGCTATTAATTGAATTAGTTAAAACATCAGAAATCTACTTTAGATTGTCATAAGTAAATATTAAAAGCTCAACCAATTTTACCCTCTATTTACTGTGAAGAATTTAAAACATTGGAAAAATAGCCTGCTTAGAAAAAAATCCATCTTATTCTTCATTACAGCAAAGCATTTTCAAGGGAAGGAAGTTATCTTAGGAGCATATAGGACTAAGATCTATCACCTCAACTAATTTCAGGAGATGTTCTTGTGGAGCTCAGGGGAGGTTCATGGAGATGTTCTCATTTAGTGGTGTGTGGGGCTTGGGGGAGGGGTTGTCTAGGAGCTTATAAAGAAAGAAACAAACCTGTAAGAAAGAGAAAAGCCTAGCCTCTGGTTTCTAATGTTTTCTGAGAGATCAGTGAAGCCCAGAACAGGAAGTTACCAGCACATAATTCTGAAGAATTGTGATGGAATTATGCAGAGGGGGAACAAAAAGTCCATTCAAAATGGTAAACATCCGGTCTCATGTAATTGCCTGTGCAGCAGACTGCATAGAACCACACCTGTGGACTGGCTTTCCATGTGTGTTGCTGCATGCTCTGCACTAAGATGGTTTTGACACACAGAAATCTCCAGTGAAATGGAATCTGATGAATATCACTCCAGCTACCATCGTCCTTCTATTCTGAGTAGCTGCCCTGAGTCAAAGGAGGAAGTTTCAACATCTTTCAGCCTCAAGCTAACCCTGGAGATTCAGGATAAATATGGAATGCCCTTGGCTGTGTTTTTTTCCCCACAAAGGTGTGCCAGCATCAGCCCAAAGCCCCGACAAGTGATAAGCAGTCAGGACCCTCTGAGTGTCATTGACAGAGCATTTAAGCAGAGTCCTTCACAGCCATCCCCAGTACTCAGATTTACACAGAATTTCAAACTTTGCAATTTCATTTCAAAACACTTTCCCATCCCTCACCTTCTAGTTCCAAAGGACTCGATGACTATCCTGGGTCAGTCCATTTGAGGATGGCACAAGGCTGCTAGAACTGGAGCTTGTGGCTAGAAAAGCCAACCGTACCCAGAGCATTTCCTGACGATGCCCACAAGACTATAAATACCACCTCCACCTTGCCACTAGGAGAAATCAATCCTTTGATTTTTATTGGTCCAAGGTGGTTTGTACAGCCTATTTTCTTTTTTCCTAGCAACAATACGAAATCACAGCACACATTCACAAGAGATGGCTCCTGTCTTTCCATGAGCAGTTCTCCCTGGATTCCATGTATATTCATGCGTCTGTGTGACTCATTTGAGTCCTCAGAATGGGGTCCAGGATCTACCCAATGGCACTTGCAGAGGACCCAAGTTCTGATTACAGCACCCACATTAGGTGGTTCTCTACACCTATAACATCCTCTTCTGGCCTCGCATATAAACACACACACACACACACACACACACACACACACACACACACACACACACACAAACACACACCATTTCTTTTGAGGAAGAAAAGAGGAGGTAACATAGGGAAGTCTTCCTTGCCAGCTAACTGTTACCATTGCTTCACACACAGAGACTCATGGGAGAAGCCAAACATGGACAGCATAAAATAATTGATGGCACATGAAATGGGCAGTGAGCAGAATGTACCTCCATCTTCCTCCCTGGGACAGATGCTCAGGGAGGCCATCAGGAGAGGCCTGCAGACAGTGTTTGGGTAGCCTCAGAGAGCCTGTCCCTAGCAGTTGATGGTAGGATGTCTATCCTATCACACAGTCTTAGCAGCTACCCACAAAGAAGGACTTCCAACAAGTGACAAGGTCATCTGCTGTACTGGAGAAGGTCTTGCCTTACATCACACAGTAGTTACACAAAAGGCATGGATAGAGAAGAGAGGGAAGCAGGTGAGGAAGACAGCAACACAGGAATCTAAGAGATGGTGGGCACGACGCCCTGGAAGATGATGAGTTAGTCTTCCCAGGAAGACTGGAGTGGGTGGAACACCACACCACAGGATCAACAGAAGAGAAGCAGAGTGTGCCTGGGACACATCCAGCTGCACGGGGAGGAGTTTTAGGGGAAGGACAAGAAGACCTTGAGAGCATAGCCTTAATTCGAAAACAGCCCTGCATACCTTGTTCTCATGGGGGCAAAGCCCAAGTCCGAAAGGGAATTGTTATTATATTGACAGAGGCAAAGGCTCTATCTACTAGATAATGGGGCATCATCTCATTTCCTTTACTCAGCAAACATTTATTATGCTGCACCAGAATTAAATGAAAGAAACTAATGCATGAACAATTATGATGTTTATCCTTAAGCACCTACAATAAATTTAATTAGAAAAATGGAAAGACTAGAGAAGCATAGGAAACAGTAAAATCTGCTTATATACTTAGGAAGAAAACAAATAACAAACACTAGGTAAGGCAGTGAATGCCTGTCACCTCAGCACTTGAGAGAAGAAGGAATCAGCATTCATTTTCAGAATGTTAGTGACTTCTAGGTCAGCCTGGACTATGTAAGATCCTGTCACAAAAGAACAAAGCAAACAAAAACAGAAATGCAGGGTTTCAGAGCTATAAGGATAAAGATTTTCTATTTGTGCATGTGGGAGGGGGGAAATGTATGTACATATTCATGTACATAGAGGCCAGAGGTCAACCTTAGGTGCCTTGCACAAGTATTCTCCATCTTAGTTTTTGGGACAGGTTTGTTGGTGACCCTGGAGCTCACTGACTGGGTAGACAGGCTGACAATGGGGGCTAAATACTCCATCCACGTGCTCTGCTTGGAAATGAGAAGCTGAAAACCTTGAGCAAGAAGAGTAGGACATGGCTCTGCAAAGTCTTAAGCAATAATGATCACTCTTTAGATTTGGTAAAGGGATAAAAGGCAACAATTGCCCTTAGATGTTCAAACCAAGTACCCACTTTTCCCAACCTACCATTGCTCCAGCACTACAGCACTGGTTGTTTGCTGTGTACCCACTCTTTTGTGGGTGCTGGAGATTCAAACTTGGGTCCTCATGTCTGTTGAGGCAGGAACTTTACCAAATGAGCCATCTCCTAATGCCCCAGTTGTCTTATCTTTGGGTTTGCTTGCTTGTTTTTAAACAAGAGTCCTTCATGCAAACCAAGCTGACCTCCAAGGTCTTGATCTTCTAGCCTCAGCTTCCAGACTACAAGGACTACAGGCACACACTGTGACACCTGGCTGAGATGTGCTATTCTAATCTCATTTTAGAATATGAAGAACCTGAGGTCATCCTGTTAGTGATGAGGCCCTAAGCCAACTCCCACAGAACCCTTTCTATTCTGTAGTGTTAAAAACGGCAAGCTACGATGTGTCAAACAGTACAGTCAGGGTGTATTGCTAGAGACCTCTATTCATGGAGGACTTCCTCAAGCTGGCAAGACCTGAGCCAGCTTTGAGGGAAAGGGAACAATGAATTAGACTAATAGGGAGGGAGGCAGAAGGCATTTCTAAGTGGGGAAACATCAATCAGTGTAACACGCAGCACTAGCTAAGAAGTGTAATCAGTAACCAGGAAACCATCAGAACACGCACCTTCATCTCTCAAGCTGCAGCTTTTGAATGTCTAAGGGCAATTATTGTCTTTCATCCCTTTACCAAATCTAAAGAGTGATTATTATTGCTTAAGACTTTGAAGAGCCATGTCCTACTCTTCTTGCTCAAGATTTTCGCTCATCATTTCCAGGCAGAGCGCGTGGATGGAGACAAAACTGACTAGCAAAATGGGTAGGAAGCCTCAACAGCCTCCATGTACTTCTCACGAGAGAGGGCTCTCTCAGACTTAGAGTATAAACAGCTTAAACTAAGAAAATGGAAAATGTTCATTTCAAGAGTATTTGTTAAGTCAAGGATTGCAATGTCCAGTTGCAGAATATATTCCTTAGCCAGCACCTAAGCAGGGTTTACAAAATTTTGTGTGTAATACATGGATCTCTGACATGGGACATGAGGACCAGTTATGTAAAGTGCTAGTCATGTAAGGGATTCTACTGAGAGAGACTGAAAGAACAAAAGGAATAGTTTGCTAGTAAACAAAGTTTGGAGAACACTTGTAATCCTCTAAATGAAATACCATAATGTGTTTGAATACATTAAAGGACTTTGGGGTTTTTTTTTTTTTTTTCTTAATTATTTTATTTTGTTTGAGTCAATGTTTCCAAGCTTAGTTGGCCATAGACATTCTTTAAATTTATTTTCATTTTGTGTACATTGGTGTTTTGCCTACATGTATGTCTGTGTGTGGGTATCAGAAGCCTAGGAACTGGAGTTAATAGGCAGTTGTGAGCTGCTGTATGGGTGCTGGGGAATCTAACCAGGATCCTCTGGAAGAGTGGCCAGTGCTCTTAACCACTGAGCCATCCCTCTAGCCCCCATAGCCATGTTTTCATTTTCTCTTTCCCATTGTTCTGCTGTCAGTGAACCATATACCACAGAGACCATCTTGGAAGTCCTGTTGCAAGTGCTGATTAGAGCTATATTTTTAAAACAAGGGACAGAGATGAGTTCTGCCCTTAAAAGACCAAGGCAAGATCCACGAGTCTCTAATTGCCACTGTGCCTGGGAGTTCCATAAGCTGTTATTTCCATAGAAGGAAGTATCTCAAATTGGGGGTGCTTGGTCCTAGTCAGTTCTTCTAAGAGTCTTTCACTTAAGGACAAATAAAATTGAACATGGACTGACTTTAGGGAAACTAAATCAAGATAAAATATTTCACTGATGTGTTCTTTTAATCTCTTTAATTTTTTTTTCTTTTTTAAAAATTAGATTTAGATGTGGTTTTTCTGTGATGAAGGGACCCAAAGAAAAATATAATAAAAATCATATTTATATCCTGAA